AACAGCCAGTTCATTAATCATAAAGAAATGACAAAACCACATCAAAAATTCAGCTGGCGTAACAAATTTCTTTTTGGAAAGAAGACCAAAAACCACCCTGGGTGGAGAATTGAACGAGCATGATAGCCAAGCGATTCACTCACGGTCATTGCATTGGGGGCTCGTGAAACCGCGCAACGTAGGCATGGTCATAGCAGGCAAGCGTGTCAGTCCCCTCTCCATTGTTTCTCGAAGCTCCCCACCCCTCTTACCAATTACAGTTGATAGCTATCACAAGAATGCTGAGTGATAACAATTAATAGTGTTTACTACTTTGTGAGACACACTTCTTTTTCTTTCTTCTCTTTCCTTTACGAGATTTCCTTTCCAAGTGTCAAAGCCTCGATAGAACTTGTGCGATTTCAGAGTCTTCGTCAGCCGAGCCAACTATCTCGGAAGCCTTTCTCGTGTCCGTGAACAAGGAACGAATCAAAGACGTCACAAAACGGCTAAAAAAGTAAGACATTTTAGCAAGCCCGTCATAACGGCGTTTGCTTTGCTTTTTGTCGCTGTTATGGCTAGTCCAATACTGGAAAATCCCGTCGTTACGCCTACGTTTTTCTCTGCTTCCTTGAGGATTATTCCGTGAAGATTTCAATCATCTTCTGAATTATCGCCCCTTCCTCAAAGTCTTCATCAGATTAGGGAATGCTCTGAACTGGAAGTACTAGCATTATGAAACTGAACCAGTTCCCCTGGAAAAGGCTGGCTGTCAGGCTTGAACATCTTGCCGTTGACTGGTATGTGCACATGCGGCGGTAAGAGACTCATTACAAATAATCGTGTCTCGCGAAGTGTCGACGGTTTTGCTTTTGTCAAGTTGACGTAGCCCACCTCTGAGGATACCTTGCTTCCTCCACTGTTGGTAGCTTCAAACCTTCGGTTCTCATACAAACTTCCACTGTGTGAATTGATTGCTCTTCAATTTCCCTGGGAAGGGGCAGGAGTTACTTAAGTTCTATCATTCCAGTTCAGAGACGCATTCAAAAGCCTCCACGGATCTGAATGGAGGTTAAATGTGTGGGGCGTCCCGAGCTGATTATTATGATGGCCACCTTTCCCGCCCAATAGTTCAGTATAGCGGCGGAAATGAACTGAGAACTGAAAGTCCTTATCGGCATCGTGCAGTTTGGAACTGCGGTGTGTACGACCCCTCTTCCCCCTCCCCCACCCAAATTTCTCCTGTGTTACGACCTCCCTTCACTATCTTATTAAGCTATCATCTTCCTAATTATATGTTTTCCCCAACTTTCTACGAGTTCCTCTTTCAAGTTCTCCGAATTTTCCAGTTTTCCCAATAGGTCGAACGGAGTTGAGAGAGATAGAGCTCGTCACCAGTCAAAGAGTGATTTCAACATTTCAACTATCAGAAATAGTGATTGTAGTTCTCTGGCGTCATCACCGAGGAGCGGAAAGTATAGAGCGAAAGTAAAATGGGATATATGAAAAATATCAACATCAGAAAAAAATTTTCTCGAGGCTGTTAAAACTTTTTTCCCGCAGACATGGCTGATAACATAACCTCCCGTGCCCTTTGACCAAGGGTGGCTTTCTGTGTGATTGCACGCGAAGCACGCTATAGCCTTTTGCGAGCGGCATGCGCGCGGACATCGGACCACCTCCGACGCTTGGTGGTCCGTGTTCACATACGGAATCCCTCAAACCGCAATCGGTGATTGTTATCAGACTTGTCTGGGAGTGAAAACATGATATGTACATCTGTTTCCCCTTTAGATTTCACTTAATGCACGAAATCGCATTCAGAATGCCTCTGCAATTCTTAGTGGAAGCAGGGAGCATGGCTCATTCCTAACAGCGTCGAAAGTTTTGCACTCATCCCCGTTGGAAAAGTTATACATGTCGAAATCATGAATCCGAAAAAAAACTGATATGCGTGGGCCTATTTCAGCGCAATTGTGCCAACGGAAGCGTTCGTATACTGGCATATCAATGGAAAGGTATGCGCTTGGCGTCAAGGGTCAACGAGCCTGCGCTAGTGTTTTGCATATTGTAGGGGTCTCACCCGCCGTTCACCGTTGCCTCATGTCTCCTCGGTCGATGCACTTGCTTTTCGTAACTAAAGAAGCAGGTTGTTGCGTCGTTGTTTCTGTTGATACAACCCACTCCCTCGTTGCCCTTGCATTGCCCTTTTCCATGTCGGTTTACCTCCTGCCCTGTCTCTTCGAAATGTTACACCACAGTAGTTCCATTTCCTTGTCAGTCCTTTCTTTTACGCCTTCTTATTTGTGAGACACTGTTAGTCCACTTTTCACTGCTTCGTAGTATTTTGTTCTCGATGAGTTTTTCTCAAAGTCCCAGAACTGGCCCCTTTCAGTTCCGCCATCAATCGATAATACTCGACCTTGTCATGCCGCCTGGTCCTGTTATTATTACCTTCGCTTAGGTATTGTCGGGCGTCCCGAATTCCTGAGCAAACCTTTTGCCAATCAATCACTGTTGAGACACGGTCAGATAAGGATAACTTTCTAGGACTTACCAATATACGCAATGAACTTTTAGGACATTCAAGGCCCCTCCACCATTTTGTTGCCGATACGCACTTCTTTTTGTTGCTAGGCAAATTCGCAGCGCGCTAAAATGCCTAGTAAGCAGCTTAGCGTTAATTGGGGTCTTAATTGCATTCACCGACCCTGGCTCTTACCCCTCTCTAATTCCAGTGTTGTTGGCTGGATTGTTTTTCATGTAGGGTTTTGTCCAGGGAAATATATGTCCGTCGTCACGGTGGATGAGGCTGCCGGCCGTTCCGGTCTGTTTCTGGCGGTAATCGCCAGCCCAATAACGAAGTAATCCCTGGATAATGACTATCGGAGTTACCCTTTGATCAGCCACATAGCAATATGCAACTAATCGGCTTTCACATATCTCGCTACCTCCATCTCTTCCACAGCACTCATTTCTGCCGTCGGTACTTATATCTGACAACTTGTTCGCAAACTTGCTCCTGGTGACGTTTCAGAGTGGCGCTACGGCCTAATCGCGTTTTCACTCACAACCTGAAGACTTTACTGTACTACACACTTCAGCGACCATACTTCACTGTGATCGTTGGTTATCTAAGGCAGTAGTTTAAAGTGTCGATCGTGGCAATTCGGCAACGGGGTGGGGGAGAGGGGGGCATTTTGCACTTTTGCTACTTCCCATCGACGTGTCGACCCATCTAGACAGCCTCTTCTCGAGTTGACAGGTTTTACCATGATGGCTTGACGAGCTTGCTCCAGCTTCACAAGAGTTCACAGGTTCCAGAGTGAGACTTGTAAATCGGAATTAGTGAAGCAACGAAAGTGCAAAATGCCCCCCCCCCACCCGTTGTCGGACTGAGCCGTGTCGATCCATTTTCTTGTAGGCTCGTTTGCTTCTTCATTAGAAAAATACCCTTTAATCAATGATAAGGTAATCAACCGCTCGACCTATTGACCTGGTATTTAAAAAAGGCCTTCCCGGTCATAGAGCGCTTTTTTCAAAATTTTGCTTGATGTTCTCGGGGAGCACCCGTGGGCCACAAAGCAGTCAGTTTTTCCTGCACGCTCCTGAAAATGCCAAGAGGAGTTAAAAAAAAAAAAAAAAAAAAAAAAAAAAAAAAAAAAAAAAAAAAAAAAAAAAAAAAAAAAAAAAAAAAAAAAAAAAAAAAAAAAAAAAAAAAAAAAAAAAAAAAAAAAAAAAAAGGCGAGAACACCACGAACCTGGCAACATAAAGTGTTCTCTCTTTCTCTGGACAAGAGATTCGGGTGTTTCTAAACCTTTTTCGTTCCACAGGGGATCAGACAAGTACGGAACACAAGGTAGTGAATATTACACGAGGCTTACGCGGCGCCTCATTCCGCTTGTGAAGTGGGTCCCTGTGAGCAGTTTTCCATGAGGGGGAGGGCCAGTCGGATCGGCTTCGCCGGGCCAATGGTCGAAAAAAATATTATTGTTTTGGATTATCAGCACCTTTCCGTTGCACTCTTAGAATATACCCATCCGTTAGAAGGCAGTCAACTCGAAAATTTTAGCTATGCGGCACACCCTTAGCGATGAGGAATCACAGAATAAACTAATGCCGGTGGTACCAACAATTTGGTACACTCCCTACGGTTATCCCGAGATAGGGAGCTACGCCGCTCCCCCCCCCCCCCCCCCCCCCCCGCCGTGGTCTCGTAAACAGCTTACTGAGGGCATAGCTTAGGTTACCTTGCTTAAGCTCCCTGAAAATTGGCTCATCCTATAGCAATCCCAGTTAGAATCCGTCCAACAGAAGCAGTTTTATGTGGTCTTCAGTTTTTGGGTGGTCAGACAGACACACACCACACAACACACACACACAACGCGCGACAACAGACAACAAATAAATTTCTGGTTATATAATACTTTTTTAGCAATTTCAGAGGCGCAAGAAAAACGAACCTCTCTCTTTCTTAGACGCCTACACACTACCTTAGATGGAGATGGAGAGGGCGCGACTGCGCACTTCATCTGGAAATGGCGTAGCATGCATTTTTAGTGGAATATTTTCATTCGGGACAACTGTCAACTTGTTTTCTGCCAGATAGAGAAATGGTTAGAGTTGCCTAAAACAACATATCCCTTCAAGAGCACAGGCGCTGCCACATTCAAATGAAGGAGGCAGTCACGCCCTTTCAATCGCCGGGATATGGAGTGTATTTTCTTACAACATATCGATGTTTCCGATCCTTAAATGGTTTTCGCGCTGAAGGCGGGAGAACGGACACTGATAGCGGGTTCTAGTGATAACAAGTTACATGCGATGATAAACAGAATTGTTACTGATTTTTGTGGCCAGAGTTCACATCATATGAAAGGCAGAGCCTTTGTAAGTGGAAGGGGGTAGTCACACAAAAGTCAAAAGACAAAGCGGAACAGAGGTCACATTTAACAGGTAAGGATAATTGGTAATTGATTATACGGAAGTTGGGAAGAACGCATTAAGAATGAGACAAATCATGATAACAAGGGCAAGTGGTTCGGCTGCCAAATATGCCCTGAAGATCGAGGTCGGGAAAGGCTGGGAAGAAATCCCTTTCAATGCCAACCAAGAAATGCGCCCGTGTCGGGCTAGAGCAACTGGTGGAAACCCACTTGACGACGAGGTGTAGGAGCACTGACCTGCACATGGGGGTAGCCTCCCGCAATCAAGGCACATCATCGTTGTGTCGAACCCAATGGGGGCCGTATTTGGTTTCGAAAAGAACTTTTCCGAATCTTTTTGAAGTTGCACGCTTCGCTTCCGTACGTATCGCGCATTGCGTACCCTTAGTTGGCCAAACTACTAATTCACGAGTCGGTCAGAAAAGCCTAC